ACAATGTTACACTATTACACTGTCACATTGTTACACTGTCACACTGTCAAACTGTCTCACTGTCACACTGTTATACTGTTACACTGTTACACTGTCATAATGTTACACTATTACACTGTCACACTGTCATAATGTTACACTGTCACACTGTCACACTGTCTCACTGTCACACTGTTACACTGTCACAATATTACACTATTACACTGTCACATTGTTACACTGTCACACTGTTACACTGTCACACTATTACACTGTCACACTATTACACTGTCACATTGTCACACTGTTACACTGTCACACTGTTACACTGTTACACTGTCACACTGTTACACTGTCACACTGTCACACTGTCACACTGTCACACTGTTGCACTGTCACACTGTTGCACTGTCACACTTTCGCAGTCACTGTCCACTGTGATTTCTTTGAGGGCTTTTAAACATTTGATAAGGTCATTAGAAAAATCTGAGCAAATATGTTCTTGATTTTAGTATTTTACATAGTTTTGTATGACACTGTATTGTTTTTATAACACAATTTTTTATTTTAATAGCTTTTTATCATTGTATATTGTTTGTCTGTACTTTACTGTATATGTTTTGTCTAAAAGAGGTCTCTCTTGAAAATGAGTCCTTGTAACAAACTAAAACATAATAAAAAAAAGCTGAAGTCTTCTAATCCAAAAACGACTAAAACATAGCAAAGATTTATTTCTTTCAAAAGTGTAATTTTGAGTTTTTGATGCTGTTCTACATCCATGTTTCAACGTCCATGTATGATAATCCATTGAGAATGTTATTTTATGCTTTGCGATTGTTGCAGCGACTCTTCTTGGCCCCTCAGGTAATGAGCAGTGACGCCGTTTTGTGGCTCACGGTGTGGCGTTCCCAGTCCCTGCAACACACTGGGTGCTGGTAATTGGTCACTGAGGGGACAGTAAATCTACGCAAGGACGTGGGAGAAGCACAATGACAAAAAGGCAGCGTTAGAAAGGAAGTGTGTGTGTGTGTGTGTGTGTGTGTGTGTGTGTGTGAGTGCTGCAGGAGGAGTGAGGTGAGAGAGGATAGGGGGTTGTTGTCTTTCATCTTCACAGCTTTTTCCTTAGAAACCTTCAACTGTTTACAAGGACTGATGCCTATTTGCACATGCACAAAAACACATACTTACACAGCCCCCCACTCACCCCGACTCCACTGCTCCCACCCACTCACATACAGTAAATGACCTGAGCAGGCAACAGTCTGTGGGCATGGAGTGTAATCAGACGTCTGCAGCATTGTGTCTGTCAAAACTCAGCCAAGGTTACTTAACCTTCCAGTCTTAATTTCCCTTCCATTTTAGCTACTTCCTCCATATCAGACATCGGCACATCTACGGGAGTCAAAAAATAAAAAGGAAAAGAAGAGTGCGGGAAGGAAAATGAAGATTGCCATGCTTGGCTGACGCTCGAAGATGAAAGTAGAGGATGATTCACTTTGCTATTGCAAAATGAACTGAACCGAGCTGAGCTGTGCCATGCTGTGCTGTGCCGGGCTATTTTTAAACTTCTATAAACTGGGAAAAGACGACGTGAAGCAGAGAAAATCAGTTCTATATCAAGAGAAAAGGTATGTGGAACATGGTCTCTATAGGAGAGTGTGTAAAAATGAGAGAATAAAAGATAATGTGAAGGGTCCTAAAAACCAAAATTATGACATTCATCAACTTTCTTCTCTTTTGCCCAAAAGTAATTTAGTTCTTCCTTTTGTGATAATATAAGTTGACAAAATGTCAATCATTTGACGTATAAAAACTGTATAAAAAGAAATAGACCTAAGATGAAAAGACACATTAAAGCTGAAGGCAGTGGCTCATTAAGGTCACCATGGTAACCACACACCTACAGCTCTCACCTCCTGACAGCACTTTTAACAAAATAGTCACACAAAAGTGCAGAATAAAGATCATCCACTGTGAAAACTGTAAATTGTGTAGGAAAAAACAAACCCTGAACTCTAAGTGGCAGAAACATCTACCTGTCATACATGTTAAAGTCTCTGCACCTGCCGTGTTTTATGTGCGAGATATGACGAGTGGGAAAGCCAATTTTCAGGAGAAATGTTGATCAGATACAATGGGAGTGAATGGAAGTTTGGTTGTGTGATCTCTCCGAAGAAACAAAAAGTTTGTGCAACAAGTTGCAACCACAACTTCAAATCAGGTTTGTCTTCCGTGGCATGCACTCCTGTTCTGTGTATCACTAAACAGCAGAGTTATGTAACAGCATTAGATTAAGAAACAACAAGACACAATGATGGTCCATGTTGACTGAAACTTAAAAGAGTCTCTGAAAAACTACTTCATAGTCAAACCGTTTGGATTGTTTGACTGAAAGACACATGCTCTAGATTCAGGGATAGATTTTACCCCGTTAGTTTGGTTAATTGTTTATTTTCTTCTCTTTTTTACACTAATGTGAACAATGTGATGTCATTTCCTGCAATTAATGCCTTTTCGCTCACTCACTCGTTGACGGTTGTTTTGAGAATCGGGTGGCGTACGCCACAGCAGACAATCACCCTGATGCAGACAATTGGCCACAATTTTATTTATTATTGCCATGTAAAATAAAATCATTTTAATTGCTGTTTCCACAAACTCCATAGAGCAACTTCTCTTTTTATTTGTTGCTCATTTGTCTCCTCTTCATTTTTTTGTGCTAATTTTTACTCAATGCAAAAAATGTTTTGTGTGCAAGTAAGAAAATATTGTGAACTCTACCTGAGCTATCAGTTCATCAGGACAGTTTCTTTTTTTTTGTGCAGAAACATTTCACCTTCGATCCGGAAGGCTTCATCAGTCAAGAAAACACACAACAAAACTGATTCTTCCTCCAACAGCTTACTCCAAAGTGGAACAATGAAGAGAGCCGGCAATGGAGGAGGGGCGTACCAAAGAGACCATCTAATCACAAGCAGAACTGGTTTGTTCCACTTTGGAGTAAGCTGTTGGAGGAAGAATCAGTTTTGTTGTGTTTCCTTGACTGATGAAGCCTTCCGGATCGAAGGCGAAAGGTTTCAGCTCAAAAAAAAAGAAACTGTCCAGATGACCTGACTGAAAAATGTTGGATTTTATACCTGGATTATTGAGCATGGACTTTGTTCTACCTGAGCTATACATCTTCAAAAACAGCTCACTCGTTTGCCAAAATCCTTTATGTTGCAACTTTGTACCCTTAAAAAGCCTATTTTTCCCCCTGCATACTGCTTAATTTGAAGGATCAGCTGGTCTCGCAACAAAATTTATCAACTTCTCCTGACAGGAGTCAAGGCATAAGGAGGACCCTCTTACCTCGATGGAAACAAATTGGATTCATGGTGACAACTGTTTTTTTTTTTTTTTTTTGCTGTGAATTTTTGGCTGGTGAATTCTGGATTGTCTATAAATTTGTGTGGATGTGCCGAAACTCGACAGCACTCAGACTGAATTTGGAGAGCTGCAGCAGGGAGCTGGAGCAGCTGTTATCAGGACTGTGAACTTTCTGGCAGCACCCATGAACGGTGGGAAAAATCTTGGAGAAGCTGTGAGCTCGACTTTTGGCGTAAAGGATCAATTCAGCTATTTTGAAGTTACATCAGAGGAATACATACCAGCGAGACTTTAAAAAGGCAGAAACAACAATTCACGAGTTCTGCCTGACCCAAACTGTGGCCTTGATGCTGGACTTACAGTATCTCAACTCCTCCTGGAATGTTTTGAAAACAACAAAGATGCTTTGTCTGTCTCCTCACCCTTCTCCAAGGCCATGGACATGTGACAGAACCTCAACCAAGCTGGTGACAAATAACACCTCTTATCTGGACAATGGCGCAGAGGGGGGCTCTGGACTATGCTATGACTTTCCCATCAAAATTCAATGTCTTCACCGGTCTATATGTTCATGTATCACGTCTATTGATGTTGCTTTGCTGTGGTAGTTTTTTTTTTTTGATGCCTCAAATCGTTCCCTGTCTAGGACACGGTGTGAGAGATCTTTTTTTCTACTGTCTCTCCTCATGTTTTCTTCCCTTTTCTCATCTAAGCAAAATATTATTCTGAATAAGAATAAGAAGGCCGTGCTATTTATAGCCGCAGCTTCGTGCACTCCGCCCATGTTTCGGACGACTGTACATATTTGCGTTGTATCTCGGTGCAATGCCAATAAAGTTTATTCTGATTCTGATTTTGATTCTGTCTACACCATACAATGTACTGCCCACTAATAGTCATAACACACCATTTCCAAACAAGCAACACTTTAACGTATTTTTGGCATGAGTTATTCCTAAATTATGGGAGAAATTAAAAAAAATGGATAGAAACAGTAGTAGAGCAGTAATAAATGTACATTGCAGCTTTATTTATTACTGCAAAAAGCATTTTTTGGCACATTTTATCCCCAAAGTGAGCTGCTAGTTGACACAGAAAAATCATTGGAAAGGTACATAAAAATAGTAAATGTACACTTAAACACAATGACCCTTATATTTAAGTTTTTCCTACCAATTATAAATAACACAAAAATATAAAAGTAACTACTAAGAAGACAAAGATGGTGGCTGCACAGGGCAGCAGGACTGAGGTGAAACACCTCTTGCTAACAAATATAGCAATAAAGTAACATTTTAAAAGTTGTTCATTACTAAACAGCTAATATGACCAAACTGACACAATGCACACATGCAACAGTAAACCTGATGGTCACCATATTTTTCTCTGACCTTGAGGATCCACAGGCCTCGAGGCTGCTCCCCCCAGCAGTGCACCGTCATCAGGGTCCAATTCTTCAGGCCCGCAGCGGAGGCATCATTGGGTCGTGTGTCCAACAGCAAAGACACCGTGCCACCTGGAGACTCCAGACTTATGGAGAGGTCACCGCGACACACTGCGTTAATACTCACTCTCACCTGATGAGAAACAGGTGGCAAGACAAGAGAGAGCGGAGACGTGTGAACAAAGAACTGGTTTTAGAGGGGATAAGAAGGAGAAGAAACAGTGGGAAAAAATCCAGTTGTCTTTTGTCAGTACACAACTTTTCATCTGATCTGTGCGATTACACTAATCAGACGTGTGACAATAAACTGTTTAAAATAATAAATGAATCTCAGAAAAACAGCTGAGTTTAAAGTGGCCTAAACTTGCAAAATTAAAATTATTATTATCAAAATTAAATTGATGCTCTCATGTTATTACAAACCGGATTCCAAAAAAGTTGGGACACTAAACAAATTGTGAATAAAAACTGAATGCAATGATGTGGAGGTGCCAACATCTAATATTTTATTCAGAATAGAACTCAAATCACAGATCAAAAGTTTAAACTGAAAGAATGTATCATTTTAAGGGAAAAATCTGTTGTTTCCAAATTTCATGGCGTCAACAAATCCCAAAAAAGTTGGGACAAGTCCATTTTTACCACTGTGTGGCATCCCCCCTTCTTCTTACAACACTCAACAGACGTCTGGGGACAGAGGAGACCAGTTTCTCAAGTTTAGAAATAGGAATGCTCTCCCATTCATGTCTAATACAGGCCTCTAACTGTTCAATCGTCTTGGGCCTTCTTTGTCGCACCTTCCTCTTTATGATGCGCCAAATGTTCTCTATAGGTGAAAGATCTGGACTGCAGGCTGGCCATTTCAGTACCCGGATCCTTCTCCTACGTAGCCATGATGTTGTGATTGCTGCAGAATGTGGTCTGGCATTATCGTGTTGAAAAATGCAGTCTTCCCTGAAAGAGATGACGTCTAGATGGGAGCATATGTTGTTCTAGAACCTGAACATAGTTCTCTGCATTAATGGTGCCTTTCCAGACATGCAAGCTGCCCATGCCACAAGCGCTCATGCAACCCCATACCATCAGTGATGCAGGCTTCTGAACGGAGCGTTGATAACAACTTGGGCTATCCTTGTCCTCTCTGGTCCGGATGACATGGCGTCCCAGTGTTCCATAAAGAACTTCAAATCGTGACACATCTGACCACAGAACAGTCCTCCATTTTACCACACTCCATTTTAAATGACCCCTGGGCCAGTACAAATGTCTGAGCTTGTGGAGCTTGCTAAGAAATGGCTTCCTCTTTGCAATGTAGAGTTTCAGCTGGCAACGGCGGATGGCACGGTGGATTGTGTTCACTGACAATGCTTTCTGGAAGTATTCCTGAGCCCATTCTGTTATTTCCTTGACAGTGGCATTCCTGTTTGAGGTGCAGTGATGTTTAAGGGCCTGGAGATCACGAGCATCCAGTAGAGTTTTACGGCCTTGACCCTTACGCACAGCGATTGTTCCAGATTCTCTGAATCTTTTGATGATGTTATGCACGGTTGATGATGATAACTTAAAAGTATTTTCTATTTTACGCTGGGTAACACCATTCTGGTATTGCTGCACTATCTTTCTGCGCAACAATGGTGGAATTGGTGATCCTCTGACCATCTTGGCTTCTGAGAGACACTGACACTCTGAGAAGCTCTTTTTATACCCAATCATGTTGTCAATTGACCTAATTAGTGTTAATTGGTCTTCCAGCTGTTCGTTATATGCTCACTTTCCTTTTTCTAGCCACTTATTGCTACTTGTCCCAACTTTTTTGGGATTTGTTGACACTGTGAAATTTTGAATCAACATATTTTTCCTTTAAAATGTTACATTTACTCAGATTAAACTTTTGATCTGTCATCTATGTTATATTACGAATAAAATATTGACATTTGCCATCTCCATATCATTGCATTCAGTTTTTATTCACAATTTGTTTAGTGTCCCAACTTTTTTGGAATCCGGTTTGTAGTTATCTTAGTTTAAGGTCAGCAGTAGTTTTGTTTTAAACTAAGTTATGTTAATTATACTTTGATATATACATTTCAAAGTAACACAGAAAACAAAACAAGGGATGTTTAAGAGGCCAAAAATCCTTTCACAAAGGTCAAATTACCTAAATAGGTTGACTTCAGTCATGTTTTTTAGTGACATGAAGAAAGTTGAAACTTCTCCAGGCCTTTATGTTTTGAGACAGTTTATTATAGTTTACAGTGTACAGAGTTGTAGCAACTACAGGGGAATAAAGTTGATAAGTCACACAATGAAGATCTGGGAGAGAGTTGTGGAAGCAAGACTTAGATGAGAGGTGACTGTGAGCAGCAGTATGGTTTCATGCTGAGAAAGAGCACCACAGATGCCATCTTTGCTTTGAGGATGGAAAAGTACATAGAAGATCAGAAAGAACTCCATTGTGTCTTTGTGTATTTAGAAAAAGCATATGAGAGGGTGCCGAGGGAGGAGAAGTGCTATGAGGAAATCTGGAATGGCAGAGAAGTATGTTAGACTGGTATTGGACATGTATGAGGATAGCAAGACAGTGGTGAGAAGTTCTGGAGTGACATATAGTTTCATAGATAGATCTGTGGTGAGAACAAGGAACAGGTGAAAGAGAACTTGGAGAGGTGGAGGTATGCACTTGAAAGAAGAGGAATGAAAGTCAGCCATAGTAAGGCAGCTGACTCATTTATGTGTGTTAATGAGAGGGAGGCTGGTGGAACAGTGAGGCTACAAGGAGCCGAGGTCACAAAGGTGCAGGACTTCAAATGCTTGAGGTCCACTGTCCAGGAAAATGGGGTGTGTGGTAAAGAGGTGAAGAAGTGAGTCCAAGCAGGAGGGAATGGATGGAGAAAAGTTTCACGAGTGATTTGTGACAAAAGGGTGTCAGCAAAGGTCAAAGGAAAAGTTTACAAGACAGTGGTGAGACCAGCTGTGCTGTATGGTCTGGAGACAGAGACATGTACAAAAAGACAGGAGACAGAGCTGGAAGTGACAGAAATGAAGACGTTGAGGTTCTCCTTAGGAGTGACAAGGATGGATAAGATTAGGAATGAGATCATCAGAGGTACAGCACAGGTTGAACAACTGGGAGATAAAGTTAAAGAAGCCAGACTGAGATTATTTGGAAATGTCCAGAGGAGGGACAGTGGTTTGGACATGTCCAGAGGCGGGACAGTGGTTTGGACATGTCCAGAGGAGGGACAGTGGGTATATTGGTAGAAGGATGTTAGAAATGCAGCTGCCAGGAAAAAGAAAAAGAGGATGTAGTTATAGAGGACATGTAGGTGGATGGAGTGAGGACAGAGGATGCAGAGGACAGGGTGAGATGGAGGAGGATGACTCGCTGTGGACACTCCTGAAGAGAGAAAAGCTGAAAAAGATTGAAGATTAAATGTTTAAAAAGTATTTGGTAGATGCTAAAATTTTCTTTCAGATTCATCATAAACAAGTTGCTCTGACATTAAAAAATAGAGTAATTTCGAAAATTGGATTTTACAAATCTGTGCGTTACATCACATCTGCTCCATCCATACGTACCAAAGCTAGTCTACATTATTATTATTATACATTATTTTTAGATAGTTTAATGCGGCTATAATATCAAACCTGACAACTTTCTTTCTTCTACTTTCAATAGCTCCCTTCCTCAGGGTTCACCACCACAAACTAACTTGCAGACTAGTGTGAAGACTTTGCAATAGGTTTTATGCCGGATACCCTTCCTGATGCAACCACAGCCCACCGAGCTACCACAGCCCTCTGTGTGGAGCAGAGCGCTGCTATCTAGGCTGTGCGAGGGAGCAGGAGGGGGTCTTGATCAAGGGCCCAGAGTGAGGCAAATCAAGGTGGAGGCAGACACCTTAACCCACCCACATATTTGATGATGTCAATCCAGGGGCCACCACTCCTCCTACCACAAACCTGACAACTTAATATGGATTTTTTTTTTAATTATTAAATTAAAGAGGGCATGTCTGCTTCTGCTCGGTTTATTCACACGACATGTGTTTATCCTCTAACGTGTTGTAAAAACCTGAGAGATGCATCTTAATCACATGCTAAAACATTGTCAGCTGATTCCATTTGAGGAAGAGGAGTAGTGGCTCTACTCTGAGCTCCCCCCAGGATGATGGAGCTCCTTACTCCATCTCTCAGGCTGAGCGCAGCCACCCTTCAGAGGATGCTCAGTTCAGCTGCTTGTATCCACGATCTTGTTCATTCAGTCAAAATGCACTCGTACGACCACAGGTGAGGGGTGACTCATGGATAGAGTTGTAAACTTTTTGCCTTTGTCTCAACTCCTTCTTCGCCTCCACACACTGGAACAATGCTCCCAATGATGAGACAAGGACTCAGTTTGTTGAAACATCTTGTTAACTAAATTCCCAGTTATTTGACTTTCTCCACTTGAGGCAGAGCTGCACCCCCAACCCAGCATGAGCACCTGTCCACCTTTTTCTGTTTGTCGAAACAAAACAAAATGTAAAAATATGAGCTTTAAATAAATCATTGCTTCAAAAGCAATAACAGATCACACACAACTATGGATTAGGTTTGTTTACCTCACTACATGACCAGACTAATCCCCCATCTTCAACAGAACAACATGAACCTGACTAGAATCTTTGTTATTCAGTCTCAGTAACAAAACCAGCATGTCTGTAAAAATTACAAGCTCCGGTTCTGATTTAGGGATCATTTAAAGCATGGGTGAACAAAGAAAAGAGTTTCCTTCTCATCAAACCCTCCAGATCAGCTTTGGACACGCAGAAAGGTAAATCTAACGAACACACCGTCCCTCAGGTTCCATCTGAATCAGTTCGGTTTCATCGGAGGTTCTGAACATGACAGATGTGGCAATGATGTGCACAAAGAAGAAGCATGTAAGGAGAGCAGGAGAGAAAGAAGACGCCAACCAAACTGGCTGAGAGGAACATTAGCTAAATGATTTAGATAAACTCATACCCCCCTTGGCCTCCCCACCCTCCCCACCAGCACCCAACACCCTCCCTGTCCCTGTTCATCACAAGCAGCACATCTGGTGTGACAATGGCACATAGCAGAGAAAGCCGCCAAGCTGCAAAAAGACTGACAGCCTGCTCCAGTTTACGGCACGTTACCACGGCAACACGTCCATCAATCACACCTCGCAGCGATGGCCTGACCCACGCTTTCTGCCAGGGAGCAGAGCCACAAAGATGAAGCCTTTTCAATTTACATGCTGACACACTCCCTTTCCCTCTCTCTCTCTCTCTCTCTTGCTGCTCGCTCGTTCACAAGTACACAAACTCACAAACACAGGCGACTCCGAACGTGCACGAACACACGCATGCCTGCTGCCACAATCAGACATGAACACATTTACATGTATGCGACCGTGCTCAGGAAAACACGGGTTTGCCATTTTCTGCAAACGACACTGCCAACACGTTAGACGTCGCAGAGGGATCCGTTTTTATCTTCTGTTCTCAGATACGGCGCATGACAGAGAAACTCGGAAACAATTTGTACGACATCCTCAAGCCTTCTCGCACGCTCGCAGAAGTTAAGTTTGGAAAGCACTTTTGTGAGATTTGTATGTTTTCAGGTGCAACAGGAACACTGAAAGGCTGAAAACAAAGCTCTGCAACAAAACAAAGCAGCTTAGGACAAACAGCGTTCAGTGTTTTCAGAGAAAACTTTAAAATAATTTAATTTCTTGCTGAAAGTTAGATAAAAAGGGTGATCTTATCTCTGATCGTATCGCAGGAGCTGCATCAGGTTAAGTCTATCGAAGCTTGAAGGCGAGATAAGGAGAGCAGGTATTTCGTCTCGGTCAAAAATAAATAACGTCGACGTGTTCGCCCCTCTAAACTTCACAGGTTTGTCTTCAACTCCTTTACGTTTACTCTGAACAACAAGCTGCGCCTCAGCCAGGAGCTGAAACGAGTCGGACCAGCTGGTTTCTGGGGTTTATGAGATGCAAACTAGTTTAAGGTAACTTCACACTAGATTTCACTTTTATTTTTCAATGACTGGTAAGAAACAGAATCGCTGCATTTACTAAAAAAAAAAAAAAAAAACTGTAACACAGATTGGAGATTATTATTATTATTTCTAATTTTCTAGATCAAATACACTTTGTAGTGGTTTATGCAAACAAATGACCAAAGGAACAAAAAAAAACAAGTATTTAAATCCATTTTATGTGAAGAAATAGAGTCAAAGCGATTTGAGTCAAATCTTAAAAATAACTTTTTTGCTCAAACTCCCACAATATTGCAAGATCTCCCCAATTTTTTTTAGTACTCATATTATGTATTTAATATGGCTCTCATACTACACCAAATGATGGGTCAAAATCTGCAACAATGACTAAGTTATATCCATTTACATGTTGGCTAAGGTGAATTACCAGTGGCAGCCATCTTGATTTGGGCTGACTTCAATGGTAATCATTTGTAGGTGTGTATCCAATATTAACTTTTTAAAAATGTCCTTAAAATATGTGCAGTGGTTCACGGGATATTTTGCTAACAGACAAACAGGGTTGACTCAGACAGTTAAATTTAAAGCAAGCATGTCGCTCATTGTGTAGCCCTCAAATATTAGGAATGACTGTCAGCTAGAAACAACATATTTCTGCTCAACGTTTGTAAAACAGACTGAGTTTGAGTCAATTTTGCATTTTCTAACGTTGATTAGCTGAGGCAGCCATCTTGCTTCAGGTTGACTCCAAAAGTTAATTACTTTTAAATACAGTATATGTCAATTATCGAGTTTCTGAGAATACTGATTTGTTCTGCTATTCTTAAAGTATTTACTAACCACACATACGGTCAAAAACATTACTGCCTGCCTTCACCGTTTGCTGGTGGGTGATGGAAAACTTACCTGCACATGCTCCAGAGTGGTGACCTCATCAGACGTCCCGCTGCAGCCCTCCGACTGGATCATGATCCTCACTTGGTCTCCAGGAGGAACAAATCTTCCAGACGATAGAAACAATAGTACATTCAGAGCTTCTGTTAGGCGAACTGTTTCCTCGCAGGCTCATTGCACCACGTGAACACACACATGAACATGTGACAAGACCGCGAAAGAGAAGTCAAAAAATTCTTGTGTTAATATTTTTGTTTGTGACAGCAAAACAAAATGACAAGAATAAAAGAGAGAACTGGAGTTTAACATGAATTACAAATCTGTGACAGCAAAAACCCCCCCCCCCCCCAAAAAACATTAAGTTATGCACGGTGAGCAACATTTTTACGTGCAGATGACAAAAGTTAAAACATTAATGGGCTAGCAAGACTTGAAGGAATGTACATGTATATTATCTGCTGTTTTAAAACATAAAACATTTCTTACGATGATGTAAGAAGGAGCCGATTCGGTCAAATCTTGTAAATGGTGTTTGGCGCACTCTGTTGCGATCTTGTGAGATTTGTGTTCAAAGTAGAACGACTCAGTTTCCATCACACTTAGCTATGGCATCTACCTTGAAGTGGGCTGACTTCAAAAGTTAACAAATTACAGTTGTGTATCCAGTCGTTACTTTCTGAGAGTTTCATTCTAATCTATTTACACGTTTATGAGATATTCTGTTAAGACGACAGACAGTGTTGACTTTAATGATTATTAGCAGAGATTTAAGCAAACACGTTGCACTGTTAGCTTTTAGAGTGGATGGATCTCAGCTACTATCACACTACATTTTAGCTAAATATCTTTAAAACTGGATTCGAGGTGGCCATTGTGTGTTCCCTAATTCCAGTTGGATGCAGAGGTCATCTGGAATTGGATCATCTCCAAAAGTTAACCAGTTGTTAAAATCCAAGCCATAATTACTTTCTGAGAGTTTCAATAAAATCCATTCTGTGGTCCAGGAAATATTTTTCTAACAGAGTTGACAATATTAGTAAATGGTACAAGTTTTAAAATCACATCTTCCACAGCCAAAATATATGATGGTGATGACTTTCAAATACAACTGCATCAAATCTTAAGACAATTTATGTCTTAGTTGTAGACATTTTTGTGTTCAGACTAGAAGAATTTGCGTTCAGTGTCATATTATATGTTTACATTGCAACTAAATACAACAAAATTTGG